CGTTTTAGTTACTAGTACTCTCTCTCTTCTTCTTCTTCGTTCGTTTCGTTTTCGTTTGTTATTATACTCTCTCTCTTCTTCTTCTTCGTTCGTTCGTTTCGTTTCTTCTCTCTCTCTCTCTCTCTCTCTCTCTCTCTCTCTCTCTCTCTCTCTCTCTCGCTCTCTCTTGAAGTTTCTATGGGGTTCGGGGCCTGAATAATCTTCTTCTCTAGGTTGGTTTTTCTTTTTTACTTTGATTCTGTCTCTATCTTTCACACACACAGATTTATTCTGTAGGTAGGTTTTCCTTTTAGGGCTATCTTTCTCTCTCTAACTCTGTCTCTATCTTTGGATGGGATTCTTATGAAAATGGGCTTTGTTGGAGTGAATATATTGAAAGGCTTTGTGTTTGTTCATTTAGTTGATAGAGGATATTGGAACAATTTGGTTTCCCTATTAATTTGTATGATGTTCAATTGCAAAGGTGAAGTTACTCTTGAGCTTTTCTTCTGGGTATTTGAGTAGAATTAACAATGAGTTTTGTGGTCGTTTCTTGTAAGAATTTCTGTGATTTTGGAAAAGTAAGATTTTTTTTTTTTCCCAACTGATTGGTGCTTTATAGTCACTGCGTCTTATTATTTATAATTGGGAGGAAGCTGGTTATTTATCCATTAATCATCCCTAAAAGCTTAAGTACAAAGCATGTTGAATCAATTATTACTTTACAATTCTTTCAGTTACCAAAAATTCCCTTTGTGGATCTCTTTATATCGTTTCATGAAGAACAGTTGTATAATTCCTTCTATGGGTATTCAGTGTTCTGCAATTAATCTTCAGTTTTTGGTGGTGCATTTATGTCGTTTAGATAGAGTTAGGACTCTGTGTTCTAAGACAGTGATGCATCTACCGGCCTAGGTTTAGATTTGCGCCTTGCTGTGGCAACTTTGATCATCTGAACAGGAAATGGTATACTACGAACATTTTTACATTTTAATGGCTTTTGCGTTAGCAAGTGAAAATTTTCTTTTATGGGAGACTCTTTGTTATGCACTACAACTTTTTGAGGAATTAGGCAGATGTACTTGTGCAGTTTGAAGTTAGAAGCCTGTCTCTATGTTTTTTAGCTTTCATCTTCACTTTGGTTTCTGAAAATCACATAATATCATAAATTCTTTTAACAGGTCACCCCACAAGTCTTAATTTAGGTGGTGTCAGTTTTCTTGAGATACACTATCTCTCTATTTGGATTATGCTTGATATGCTAAGCGCTAACACATTAGATTTAAATCATGGCTGCTAAGATGGCTAGGATTGCTTTGTAGTAAAACAGAAAAATGATGGTTTTTAAGTTTGGCTATATGATACTCACTTAAAGGGCAATTGTGTGCAACCTGTTGCCACAATTCCTCTATAACCGCCAACTCTATTATTTATCCTGTTGATGTGCTAGGTAGTCTTTTGAATAATGCATCATTGAGCAGCAAAGAAATATATGCTTTAATAAGCTCTTCATTTATTTTCTTAACAAATTCAATTCTTATTTCGTGGACTTCATGATGACAATGAATTGGAAACTATTAGTATGCTATCAGAAATGAGTAGCATAGAAGTTGACCGAGCCATGTAGTTTGCCATTATAAGCCAAACTGTGATGCTTGATTAATGCTCTGCCGTGCTTGACGTTACTATATTTTGTTTGTCTAAATATCACGGCTTTGTTGTGCTCTATCAGTTTCTTCATACTGATTGAATATGAAAGGCTTGCATTTATTTATTTTGGCTTGTTGAACCTTTAGAGGTACAGGTTACATTTGCAATTATTAACCAAGACATTTACATTGATTTCTCGAGCTTGAGCATATGATGAAGTTGATGGGTGAATGCTGGAAGTGGAGATGAGAAACAAGTGTCAACACAATAACTTCTGCCCATTTAGCCAGGGGATTTTTGGACAATTTTTTTAAGTTCAAAACATGCGTTCTTCTTCTTCCAGAGAGATTGTCCCAAGTACTTGTGAAGCCTTATGCCTTAGTCCTCTTAATGTAGCATAGTTTATGCCGATGTAGGATGAAGATAAAAAATTCCCCGCAGACCAGCAGTTACTTGTTTTCTAACTTTAACGATACATCTGATTCTCGAATCGCCTTTGACTATGAAGCTTTTCTGGCATCCTGTTTATGGGCTGGTTCATGAGGTTGCATGCCATGTGGACAGCCTTAACCCAAAGGTGACCATGGTAATCGCAAATCCATTAACAAGCACCTCTTAAAATTTTTCCTTGAAAATACAAAATATTTAAAATATAATATGTTTTGGTAAGCAGTATATTATATAGCTTCAACATATTTAGAAACTTAAATTAATCCCATTTTATTTCCTATGTCCCAGGTTTCTTTCCCAATATTGGAACCAGGAGTGCTTCATTGAATTATATATGTAGGATAGTTATTGAAAAGGCACTAGAATACTGTATAACATTTAACATAGTGACCATGTTAAACTAGCTCATGGAAAACAACCAACTGGACACAAGATAATTAGAAAGTATAGTATATAGACTATAAAGTTAATTGAGAGACTTACAGCGAAAAATAGCTAAATAACAAATTGCTGGTGCTTCTTGATAGGGAAGATGATTTTGAAGAAGAGTTACTGATCTGTCTCTTGTCTCTATTATCCATGAAGTTTGTTACCATTTCATTGCTGTGATATAGATTTTCTTGGTGTTAATTTACGTCTTTGGCCATTTTTATATCAGGCTGGTAATAGAGTTCACATGGGTTTATGAAATTATTTTGCTTTTACTAGCCTGATGTTGTTTTCCATACCATTTTAAATCGGTAATGACATAGTAATATGTGTTGTCAACTAGTTTCCATGAATCTGAAGTCCTTACTAGGTTTCAATTATTGAGGTGTAGAGAAAATTCTGAAAACTTAATTGGTCAATCCATCAGGCTGTTTTGTTCTGTAGATTAACCAATGGATCAAACTCTTCTTTACTATCTTCATAGAATTTTGTGATTCTGCTCATATAACAAAAGGATTTGCATTCAATTATTAAGGGGCATTGTATTATGTTCCTTCTTGGTTTTTGCACACAGCGGATACTGACTGAATCATGTACCCATTCTTGTACAGGGTATGATGCAATTTTACAGGGCAGAACTCTATGTCCCTTTCTTGGACAGACAATGAAGAAAAAGGTGAATTCTAAGGATAAGGAAGACTTTCATGACGAGAATTATTTTCTGGTTCCTGATAGGAATCATGACATAATATTAGCCAAAGAAAAACAATTTTTATTAGACCTCAACAAGGTATCAGAAAGGGTGAGCCATGAGCTGTTAGTGAAGAATAGAGGAGGAAACAGTTGCTCTTTTATGACAGTAGACAGGACTGGTGATTGTTGCAATGAAGAATTATCCTGTCGCAATAGTTTCTGTGACAAATTTACAAAATCCAACACTATTGATCTCTCAAATCTAGGAGACCACTATCCACTAGCTCTTGAGTTCATCAAGAAGTCATCCCATCTAAGGATAATATGCAGTGCTTCCATCGCATTCAACAAATCACTGAAACAGAGAACCTCCAAATTGGAGGTTCAGTTCAAGGGCTTGGTAACTTCTCAAAACAATGGAATATCGAGCCCAATCACTGGGTGTAAGCCTATAGAGTATTCAGAAATTGCCCATTTGCAAGAGCGGATTATGAGTACTGGAGATGAAAATGGAAAAACAGAAAGTGTTTTGAGAAGCCCTATTTATAGTAACTCGCCAAATCAGTATAGTAATTCTAGCTCTAGAACTCCCAGTGCAATGGATGATAGAAAAATCAGCTCCTGGGAATCAGATAGTTCTTTAGTCATCGTCAATGATACTTCATCTCATAAGCCAGTTACTCTTTCTAAAGGACTGATCCATTGCTCATGGAAAGATGGGCTTCCACACTTTGTATTCTCTTTAGATGACTCCCACGAGGTTCTTGTAGCCAAACCACAGAGGGTCGAGTTTTCAGGTGAAAAAGCTCTGGACTTTATCTATTTTTTTCATTTGAGAAGCAATGGAGAAAAGTCCCAACAGAAAGCTCAGAAGAATTCATCAAATCTCATTGGAAAGATGACCGTATCTTCCAGATCAAACCCAGTTGAATCTGAGTTTTTCGATTCGAACTTTGTTTTGTATGGTGCAAAGGAAGACCAAGTTAGGTGCAACATGAGCAAGATGGCATCTTCAAGCCCCTACCGTAGTTGGAATAAAGGTGCACAGAAGAAGGCAGGCAACATTTTTGGAACCTATAGTAGATTTCAGCATAGTCCTCTTCCTAAATTTCGAGAAACCAATGTGAAGTTGAAGGAATTGAACTGGGAAAATCCTTTGGATGCATCCAACAAACAGGATTGCTTAGTTATAGACAACCCTCTTGGAGAAAATATGCTGCCCAATCTTGAGCTAGCTTCTATACTCGTCAAATGTCATAACAGCAAGAAAACTGGTCAAGAGGCTACAATTGGGGGGTGGGGATTAAAATTTCTAGAAAAAACTTCAGTTGATGGGGCTTGTAATAGTCCCTCACAGTCCAAAACAAACAATTTGGAAGTTGTTTCTTTTAAGAATTGCAATGAAAGTGTGTCAAGAAATGAAGGAAAAATGATTGCAGGCATGACTGTTTTAGTCCCTGCAGGCTTTCATGGTGGTCCAAGAACCAGAAATGGAGGCCCTTCGAGTCTTTATGAGAGATGGGAGTCCGGTCACTGTGACTGTGGAGGATGGGATATGGGATGTCCTCTGACTGTGATGAACCTGAGAGAGAGAAATGATGCAAAAGTTGTGATAGAAGTTGATACAAAGGAAGATTGCCAATCATTTGAACTGTATATTAAGGTCAGTTATGGAAGGTTTTCTGGTTCCATTTTAATTCCAGAGCCTGCCAACAAAAGTCGATGTTTTCTTTTACAAACTTTATAGAGCACCATGTTGCATTTGACTGCACATAGTGAGAGTATACTGCAATCCAATGTATTATGGAAGAAACCATTGGCCAATGGGCCATAATCTTATAATGCAATGAGAGAGAGAGAGAGAGGGTACCCTTCTGGAACATGTGTTAGTCTGACAGGTCCCCTCTCTCTCTGTAACTCTGTTATTTCAATGACAGTGATAATCCAATGGAATACGTTTTCTCCATAAAATGCACCTATTAGTAGGCATAGTCCGTTGATGCGGTTTGCACATTCTACTAGTGACTTTAGAAATAAATGAAAATAAGCTTGTTAAACTCATGACTTGATGTAGTTTCTTTTACCTGATGTGGAAGCACAACTCTCACTTATTGAGCAAAACATAATCCCTTCTGTGTGTATGTTCTTATCCATAATTTCATGATATGGGTACTGTCAGATGAAAGAAAAGGGATATGGGGACATTTTCACCTGTGGAACCAAATGAGCTTTTAGACCTGCCACTTTCTAATGCCATTATTCTTCCAGTTCTGATCAGATTCTCATGCACATAGACTCAATTTTGCAGGGTTCAAAGAAAGGTGTCCCAGCTGTGAAGTTGGTGAATATACATGAAGGCCTGTATTTTATTTATTTCCAATCAAATCTATCAGCTCTTCAGTCATTCTCAATTGGGATGGCCATGATCCATGCACAGAGTCCAGGCCTTCCAGTAAATCATGTACAGCAGATGAAATAGTGAGTTCAGTGACTCATCATGAAGTATCCAAGTTTTGTAGTGTCCCTTTTCTCTTATGAAACTCACATAGCATTGTATTACTTATTCTATGTATTGAAAAATGTATCATTCCTCATTGGTAATGTATGTATTTAACTGAAAAGCCTATCTATTTTTTGAATAAATGTATCCTAATTTTGAGGTTCTAAATATCGGAAGGGCATTTCATATCTTAGATGTGACTTTGTGCTTGTTTTTCACTTAGATTTAAAAGAATAGTATTATGCTTGAACTGCTTGAGTTAATGAAAATAGGAGGCATTAAAAAGAGAATCTAAATTAGATATAGTTGATTGAAGTTTCAAGTTACTGAAAATGAATTCGTTATGGGGCCAACTAGGCCATTATCAAACTAAGCAAGAAATTCAAGTGGGGGATAATTTCATGGGTCATTAAAAAAAAGTTGGTTTCACAAATTCATTGTAAAAATTTAGGAAATAAATGGTCAAATAGTAATATACTTGAAAAACCGAAAGGTTTTTCATAAATTTTTAAGGGAAATTTATCCAAACATCCATGAGAGATGAATTCTTTAACATTTTGCCTAATAGATTTGAACCATTTGGACAACCATGAAATTTTACTAGATTTTTAGATTGAAATAAAAAATTCTACACTATCAAGGCAAAAGAGTTTTCGAAAAAAAGACAAGTCAGACTTGAATATGAAAATACGGCTCTCTCACCCCGTACAAACCTAGTAACCTACACCGTGAAACCTCAGAAACCCAAATCTACTTTCTCTCTCTATTAATCTACTCTCTCTCTCTATTTATCTACTTTAGAACTCCAAATCTACTCTTTATCTCATAAACCCCAAATCTACTCTCTCTCTTACTCTACCTGATAAATCCCAAATCTACTCTCTCTCTCTAAACTATTTCAACCTGAAATCTTCAAAGAAAAATCAACCGTCACAAATAATTTCTGAAGGTGACAACCACTCAAGTTTTTGTTTGTTCGCAGGCTGAAGTAAAGCATGTTGTTTATCTCGAGAATGACCAAGCTCCTCCCCTCTCTCTCTTTTTTCTAAAATCAGGGACAGACTTTCATCATACCTCCAAATAATGGTAAAAGAGGAAGCTCAAATAAGGCAGAGAAGATGAGTGAAGAAGAAGAAGAAAAATAACATGAGCTTGGATCTCTTGTTAAAGGGGCGAAGAGAAGAGAAAAGCGAGGAGATCTTTAATTCACCATTAGGGTTTGCTAGCATGGGTCTCTTGTTAAAGGGGAGAAGAGAAGAGGGAAGCAATGAGACCTTTAATTCACCATTAGGGATTGTTCCATTGTTCTGCTCATGGATTTGTGGTTGCATCAAGGTTTGAGGATGAAAGAGCAGCAAGGTGATGTATAGAGGTGTGAGAGAGAGAGCGTTAATTGTGTAGTTATCCCCTTCTTGTTGAAGGAGAGAATTGCATAGAGAAAAATAGACTTTAATCGCCCAACGGCTTTATAAAAAAAGAAAAATGCTTGATTTATTTTGTAATTGGTATTTAAAAAACCGTATTTTTATTAGATAATAATTTCTTTTTATTTGACATCCAAAATGACCTAAGTTTATGCAACTCTTTGACTACTTAAGAAACATGAGAGAAACTTAAGAATGTTTGGTTTGAATCCAGATTGGATGAGATTTGAATTATTTAACAAAAATACGCTGAAAGTAATACGTGATTCACTTAAAAAATTTCAATACCTGGGAAATCATCAAAATTTTGCTAAAATTTAAAAAAAATCGTTTGGGCCAACGGAGATCTTTAAAATTTGCAAAGGATTTCATTAAAAATTTATTTTATTGCAATTTTCATTGAAATTTGCTAAAATTAGGTATAGTTCAACCATTTCCACTGGTATTAAATTACTTATCTCACGTTGGGGGCCATGCCCCTGCTCGAGCTAAGTAACTCAAGCCAGTCCCAATGGACTGACCTAAGTCCTACCTAAGTACACAAAGAAATTCCATATAAGTTCATAAAATTCCCTTAAAAAACAAAAAAAAAATCAAATATTCAAAATAAAGTAACATAATTTATGAATAATAACAAAACAGCCCCCTTTGATTTTGCATCCAAGAGTAAGGAATACACGGTACACATACTCTGGAATGCCTCTCAAACGCAGACTCTTCCTGCGGAAAGCACTCCAATACAGAACTATATGTGAGCTACATTCTAGTTCGAAAAGGAGCACACATGGGATCATGTGTCTCATTGCCAAGACTCGTCATGCTTACTTCCACCTCGGCGCTATCCTAGCCGCCTGACTCTTTCAGGCCTTGCTACTCATGCTTACTTCCACCTCTGCTCTATACTATCCGCCGGGCTCTCTCGCTCACCACCTAGGCCTTGCTAGTTATCACCCTAGCTGTATCACTGGTGGAGTCATCGGCTATATCGCTCACCACCTAGGCTCTGTTGTATGTCGTCATGGCTCGACCTCTGACTCTCTAGCCAGAACCTCAAGCCTCCTCATCAGTGGAGCTAAAACCATCTTAAACCCCAACTCCTTCGACCTTTGGCTCCTGCACACTTTCGTGGTTAGTCCCCTCTACTTTTAGGTCACTTGGCTTGTTCACAATCTCTTCTTCAAGGTCCCTCCCAGCTGCTACTTCATCTAGCTCAACCAGTTATTCGTTAGCGGGATCTCCATTGAAAATGTGGTCAAGGTTGATTGAATTGTAATTATTCACCTCTGCCCTGGGTGCCTCTTCCTCTGGTTCAAATAATAATGGACATATACCAGCTTGTGCAATTCCTTCGTCTTAGCATGTTCTGCGGAATATGAGTACTATAAAATGTGCTCCGATTTCTCTCACACAATGACAAAATAAGTTCGACATAGGATCTTAATTGCAAATTTTAAGATATGATTATCTATTGGTATTTAAGTTGAGGAAAAATGGTTTGATAGAGCTGCAGTGTAAAAGCCTCACCTAATAACTCATTAAAAATTGCAATTCTAAGTGTTGAAAAACCTTTAAAGCAATCATCTCGGCTTGATCATTATGGTATGCAAAAAAATTAAGATTTTAAATTGTAAAAATAGTGTATATTGCAACAAATCATCTAGACCATTCATTTCTCCTTAAAATAAGTGTTCACATATCTGCAAGATTTGTATATTTTTTTAGTTTCAAATTTCATGTTTTGGGAATTAATTTTAGAGACCGTGAAAATTTCCAATGCCAAAAAGTACTTTTCGGATAAGGATTTGAGGTGAGACTTTATTTTGTTTTCAAAAAGCATAGGCCCAATAGAAACAAATTGGGATAGGAGATGGCACCACCATTAGCTTTTTGTAATGTCCTCGGGATCCCTCGCTTGCGGAATCAAGATTCTCAAATACTAGGATCGCACACAAAATCGTATACACAATTGGCTAAATATGAAATAGATAAATACAATTATAAATCGAGTGTAAGAAATAAAGCAAAAACTAAAACTACATCACAACGACACACGATTTACGTGATTCACCCCGTAGGACTACATCAATGGTCTCGGCAAGTAGAAATCCAGTATCACAATGAAGATTACATTTTTAGGTTACAAGTGATATACCTATCTCTAAATATCGATAAAAAACCATCATCGATCTTCCCTTCTAAACCCGCTCTCTCATCCGAGCCACGCCGTCGATCAATATCATCTTTCACAAATACCGCTACCAGAAAGATAATCTCAAAAGCAACCAAGTGACCATCTCTCTATAGAAATGGAAACATTAGCAAACTAAAACCCATGGGAATATTGCCCCTCTTTCGGAGGCCATGTCTTTCTCTCTCTTAGAAACACATCTCCATCTTAAAGATCCATTCGCATAACCCCCAAACAGGTGACCCTAAAAAATATGAGTATAATATATTCTGTAACTTCCTTAGATCACTTTTTTGCTCTCCAAGAAAACTCCTTTCTTTTTTACCATAATACTTTTAATCTTTAAAAGAAAATATAGGTGTGGTGATATTGACAACCACCCAACCTAACAATCTCTACCTTGATAGTAAAATCAACATAATTGTCTTGCCGACATTCATTGAATATACTTATTGATTTTTTCTTTTCTCCATTGCGAAATTTTTACAAACACTTTGCCTTTATATTTCTCCACCTTAAACTTTGTAACTTCGTCATTCATCTTTTTCTCCATACATTGTGCTTTGATACCACTTGTAGGGTTTTCGGGAACCCCTCGCTTGCAGAACTAGGAATCTCAAATACCATGATCCCACCCAAAGTTGTATAAGCAATTGGCTAAATGCAAAATCGATGAACACAACCGTTTATCGAGTATCAGAAATAAAGCAAAAATCAAAATCTCACCACAATGACACAAGATTTACGTGGTTCACCCTATAGGGCTACTTCCACGACTTCGGCAATTAGAAATCAATTATCTCAATGAAAATTACAATTTTGTTTTACAAGAGATAATACATCTCTCTAAATATCGATAAAAGCCCCACCGATCTTCCCTTCTAAACCTGCTCTCCCGACCGAGCAACTCCATCGATCAAACTCATCTTTCCCTTCGCAATGCCGTGACAAAAAAAATAACCTCGAGAGCAAAAGAAAGATTTTTTCTCTCTATAAATGGAAACCTGACCAACCCAAAACCTATGGGAATGCCGCCTCTCTCCGAGGTCATGTCTTTCTGTCTCTTAGACTTCACCTTAGAGATCCCTTCCCATAACTTCCATAGGGATGACCGTTAAAAAGATGAGCATTATGCCTTCCTTGCCCTTAATATTTAGAAGACAACATAAGTGTGGTGATTTTGACTATCACCAAACCTAACACTTTCCCTTAGTAGAACTCACATGAATTTTGCAATTTTAGGTACTTAATGTAGTATTTAAATGTGGTGCAAGCGTTTTAAGCAAATAATTAATCACCACACTCAAAGTTTGGTGATTGATTTGACGTGGTGCAAGTATTTTAAGCAAATAATTAATCATTTCAATCTCAATCCCCAACTTCAAATAAGTAGTGATTATATCACATTTTCTTTTTTTGTTTGGATAGAACACTCCTTAGAATTTTGGATTTCACTCACTGTGTTTAATAGCATACATGCATTTTATAATTAATAAGATGACATAATGGCATCGCCAAATATATAACCTTTCAAAAATCTAAATCCCTATATATAT